GGAATCGAATTGGCGACCTCCTGGTGCATAGATTGATGCTCAACCACTGAGCCACATTGGCCGGGCCTGTGTATAACTTTTGACTCCCCAAGGACTTAACGTTTTTTGTTTTTTTTAATCCTCACCAGAGGACATTTTTCCATTTTTGTTCAGAGAGGGAGGGAGGGGGGAGAGAGAGAGAGAGACATCTATGTGAAAGGGACACATCGAGTGGCTGCCTCCCGCACCACCCCAACCGAGGCCGGGGACAAACTGCAACCGAGGTACGTGCCCTTAGCGGGAACTGAACCCGGGTCTCTCTGGACCGCGGGCCAATGCTCCAACTGCTGAGCCAAACTGGCCAGGGCAGAACTTAACTATTAATGACCTACTGTTAACTGAAAACCTCACCAATAAAATACTCAATTAACCCTTATTTTGTATGTGATATGTATTATATACTATATTTTTATGATAAAGTGAGCTAGAGAAAAGAAATTGGTATTAAGAAAATTGCAGCCCTGGCTGGTTTGGCTCAGCAGTTAGAGCGTCACCCGTGGACCAGAGAGTCCCAGGTTTGGTTCCCACTAAGGGCATGTACCTCGGTTGCAGTTTGTCCCCAACCCTGGTTGGGGTTGTATGGGTGGCAACCAGTTGATGTGTCTCTCTCACGTTGATGCTTCTCTCTCTTCCTCCCTCTCCCTCCCACTCTATCTGAAGATAAGTGCAAAAATGTCCTTGGATGAGGATAAAAAAAATAATAATAATAAAAGAAAATTGCAAGGAAGAAAATACATTTATAGTATTTACTGGGGAAGAAAATCTGTGTGTAAGTGGGCCCGTGCAGTTCAAACCCATGTTGTTCAAGGGTCAACTGTATACATATATCAAAGTGGTTGGATTAGTGCCTGGCACCACATAGCTGTCATTCAGTACATAATAGCTATTGTTAATGGTGCACTTTAATTTCTCAGGTGCTGAGAGTAAAATTAATCTGCCTTGGAAATTAGGAAAGTCATCACCGAACTAGTGAGGTTTGACTGAATTTTGAAGGGGGTGTGTGGTTTTGCCACATAGAAGAACTAATTTTAAAAAAAAAGCTTAGAAGTGTGAACGTGCCTGTTATAGTGCTTAGGGGAAGTAGGTTGCATTAAGGGACACCCAGTTTAGTGTATCTGGTGGTTAGCACTTTTTTTTTTTTATCCTCACCCGAGGACATTTTTTGATATTTTGTTCAGATAGAGTGGGAGGGAGAGAGAGAGAGAAACATCGAAGTGAAAGGGACACATCGAGTGGTCGCCACCCACACACCCACACAACCCAATCAGGGCTGGGGACAAACTGCAACCGAGGTACGTGCCCTTAGAGGGAACCAAACCTGGGTCTCTCCAGACCGCAGGCCGACACTCTAACCGCTGAGCCAAACCGGCCAGGGCTGGTTAGCATTTTTTGAGGGAGAAGGTGGAAAATTAGGCTAGAAAGGAAGGTTGGAGTCAATTAGTAAAACATTTTGAATACCTTGCTAACGTGTTTACACTTATTCTTTAGGTCCCTGGTTTTCCTCCTTCTAACAGCAACATTTAATTTGCTGTGGGATAGGGAGGGGAATTACTTGAAACTGGTGTTATAAACAGGAATTTTTTGGTAATCTTATGTTTTATCTTAAAATTCATGCAGTGTTTATATTCTACATAACATTTGTTTCAGTACAAAAATATTTTAAGTTATTTACTGGTTATGTAATTTAATTCCTTGTCCCCCAGTCTTCCATATTCTCATCCTCTGAAATAATCTTTGAGTGTGTTTGGTATTCTAAGATGTGCCAAGTTCATTTCGTAGCTTTAGTCCCTTGTCACACCTCTACTGGGAATCCCTTGTATGTATTTCCAGCATTAGAATTGTGGTTATAGATGATATGGAACTTTTGAAATATTTTTAGAAGGAGAATGATAGGTAAGACCTGTGTATTAAAGATCTGGGTTGGGCCAGATTGAGTAGAAGCTTCATTTTGATTAATTAAAAATAATTTTCCTGCCCTGGCTGGCATTGTCTCAGTGGTTAAAGTGTTGGCCCGCACACTGAAGGGTCAGAGGTTTGACTCCCTGTCAAGGGCAGATATCTGGGTTGCAGATTCCATTCCCAGCCCTGGTCAGGGTTTGTGCGGGAGGCAGGCAATCAGTGTGTCCCTCTCACATTGGTGTGTCACTCTCACATCGATTTTCTCTCTCTTTCTTCTCCCTCCCTTCCTTTCTCTCAAAAAAAATCAATGGAAAAAAATATCCTTCCATGAGGATTAAAACTTTCCTGTTTGTTCTTCCTAGAAATCATTTAGTCTTTGAATTCTGTGGATTACTTCATGATCCAAATTAAGTCAGACTTGACTTCCTCTCTCTTCTGAGTTTTTAGTAGGAACTTTAAAAAAAAAAACTCTGCCTGGAGTGTGCCTAATTGGTAAGGGGCTAGAACTCTTTGGGAAGGAATTTCCAGGAGATGAATTGTTTAGACACCAAATTCCAGCATTAAAAAAAGAAAATGTGTTTTTATTTATTTTAGAGAGAGAGGAAAGAAGAGGGAGAGAGAAAAAAACATCAATCGTAGACTGAATCTGCAGCCTGGATATGTGCCCTGAACAGGAATTAAACCTACGACCTTTCAGTATATGGGACATGCTCAACCAACTGAACCATACCTACCAGGGCACCAAATTTTAGCTTTTGCTTTATCCTTTCTTTGTTAGTCTTTGTGTGCTGCTGCTATTTGTTTAAAAACAAAATAGGATCCCAGCCGGTGTGGCTCAGTGAACCAAGAGGTCACCGGTTCCATTCCTTGTCAGGGCACATGCCCAGGTTATGGACCAAATCCCCAGTCGGGGGCATGCAGGAGGCAGCCAGTCGATGTTCTCTCTCATCGATGATTCTGTCTCTCTCTCCTTTTCCCTCCCTCTCTCTCTAAAAATCAATAAAGAAAAAATAAAAATTAAAAAATATAATAAAATAAAAACAAAATAGGAAACACTGATCTCTCAATAATTCTGTGTTAGCTTAAATTACTGGTATTTGGGGAATTACAGATGTCAGTATAGGCTTTGGAGTGGATCTCAGATAACCTGAGTACAGTTCTAGTTCTGTCATTTGCTTGATATATGCCTCTCTATTCTTTACTTTAAGTGAGGATCATTATCCTTGTCCACATCACAGACCCACTTTGAGTATCAGGTGAGATAATATATCTGGAATTGGTGAAGCTGAAAGGTAGTATATTACAGTGGATAAGGACATAGGCTTTGAAATCATGTTTTCTGGGTTTGAATCCTGGCTCTGCTCCATACAAGCTTTGTGTTTTCTGTTTTATCTCATTTAATCCTCAAAACAACTTTATGAAGTAGGTATTAATTACTATTATCTTTATTATAAGAGTTGTACTCCTGAGTCAGTTTTTAATTTGAAGCCATACTTTGTCACTTACTATGTGTGGAATGCTGAGAAAGGTGTTACTTTTCTTACGTGGTTTTCAGTTATGCAAAAATGGAGATGATGCTTTACTGCTTTGTAATTCATGTAAAATACTCAACACAGTCATATTGAAAACACCTAATGGACGGTAGCTACTATAGTATATTATAATTGTATTATTGGTGGGGACATTTAGAGTTGTTTTTTCTTCCTATAATAAAACCCTTACACTTACATTTTTGTGCTTATTTGATTAATTCTTTATTTTTCAGATAGGAATAACTGGGTTAACCTTTTTCGTTTTTGAAAATGCCAGCAACTATGGAAAATTTCTTTTACCCAAATAAATTTATCATATTTGAACTATAGCTTGGGGTGGGAAATTAATTTGGAAAGTAAATTGAGGCTAGATTTTAGAACTCAAGCATCTAAGAATTTTTTTGTTTTTGTTTTCAGGCCCATGGGAGTTCATTGAAGGTTTGAGCAGAGGAGGGATCATGGGTGCTAATTTAGGAAGATTAATCTGCTATGCCTCTGAGGTCTTTCCTGACCATCATTGACTTATTAGGGCACTCTGCTATATGCTTACATACTACCCAATATGCCGTCTATTATAATATTTAATAGGCTTTATGTAAATATTTATTTAAATGTTTCTCTTCTCTTCTTGAGAACATGGATCACATGTTGTATTTCCTAACAAAGTATCTAACATATGGTGGCACTTATGGGTGGGGAGAGCTCCTCATCCCCACCTGTTGCTCATGGAAGTGGGCTTCTTTCGATATCCTGAGAAAAGGAATTTTCTGAGACTTACATGGGAGGATGAGCTATTGTAGAAAGCTTTATTTCTGTGGAATCAAACCCCTGAATTTCCAAGGTCCTATTTCCCTTCATCCTCCTAAGGAAGAAATGTAGCTGTGGCTTCAGCAGAACTAGAATCAAAGTCAGTGTCCAGAATTTTTGCTCCATATTAGAGCAGTGTCCAGTCTAGCATCAGGCTAGCTTAGTCTGTCTGTTACCCACTGCAGTCCATCAGTCCATTGTTTGTGGTGTCCACAGGCCACATGGCTATGGAGGAAACACAGGCAGGACCAAAGCCAAAGGAACCAGAGAGCTGAGAGAGCCAGAGCCAAGAGCCCCAAGAGCTGAGAGAAATAATTCCTTTGTTTGGGGGATATGTATCATGGGCTTGTATTGGCTCCACCTCTTCTAGCCAATGATTTCTGTTCTCAGGTTTGATGGACAGTAAGCACCTTCCCTATGTCATCTCCACTTCACTGCCCATGTGTCCATCCTCCCCTTTTTCCAGTCTGCAGGGAATGGCCTGGTGGTTCTCTGGGGAGTGTGAAATTGCAGCTTCCTGGTAAAGCTTCCTAAATGATATGCCTATAATGCCTGGCTTTCCCCTTTGCTTCTTTCCTATTATTAATAACTAGTTAATTACAACAGTATCATAGTGAGTGAAAATACTTGTTGAATGTGGAAATGAATGTTTTATTCCCTTCTTGTCTGGAAATTAACTTATTGGCTTTTGTGTTCCTTTTATTTTTCTTCCTGGACTCCAAGGAGGAGGCATCTCCCTATTCCTTACTTGATATCTGTTTGAATTTCCTGACTACACACCTTGAAAAGTTCTGTTCAGCAAGACAAGATGGAACATTGTGTCTGCAAGAACCTGGAGTATTCCCACAGGAAGTGGCTGATCGATTGCTTCAGACTATGGCCTTTCATGGTAAAAAAAATAATATAATCAGAGGAAAAATAATTTGTTCTGTTAATTGGCATTGGATTTTGAAGTGCTACTGTGGTCATTTAATTATTTTCTTAGAAATAACAAAACAAAACAAAAAATGCCCTGGCCAGTTTGGCTCAGCAGTTAGAGCATTGGCCCGTGGTCCAGAGAGACCCTGGTTCAGTTCCCGCTAAGGGCACATACCTCGGTTGCAGTTTGTCCCCGCCCCTGGTTGGGTCATTTGGGTGGCAGCCACACGTTGTGTCCCTTTTAAGTCGATGTTTCCTCTCTCTCTCTCTCTCTCTCTTTCTCTCTCTCTCTCCCTCTCCCTCTCCCTCTTCCTCTCCCTCTCTCTCCTTCCCACTCTATCTGAACAAAAAATGGAAAAATGTCCTCCGGTGAGGATTAAAAAAAAAGAAATAACAAAAAAAAGCCAGATGAGCCTGATTCCAGGGAAGTAATTTTATTTATTTTTGCCTACACTGCTACTTTTCTGTAACTTAGATTAAGCTTTTTTTTTTTTTTAATTGGGGCAAATTACTTTTTGTTTTTTCTCTTTTTGCTTTGAGAAGCTATTCTCATGGCAAAAATAACTTCTCTAACTTCCAAAATATCCATTTAGAAGTCTGCTGGTGTGAAAAAATACCTTACATCCTTATTTGGCAGTGGGAGAATCAATACATACTGTTATAAAAAAACTAGTTTCTGCTTTTGACCTTTGAAATGAGAAATCATTGCTAATTTAGGACTTATGTTTTCAAAAACAAATTCTAAAAATAAATTGGGAAAGTCCCATCTGTGAAATTCTGGTTATGTATATTGAAGATTTTTCTTACTTCTATTTAAGTTTTAAGTAGAAAGAGATATAATACCTTTTTAGGTCCTGTCCAGGTAGCTCAGATAGTTAGAGTGTCACCCCAATATGTAAGGTTGTGGGTTCGATCCCTGCACATACAAGAAACAACCAGTGAAAAGGGGGGAAGAGGAGACACCTGCAATAATGTCAACATTGAGCCCTGGCCGGTTTGGCTCAGTGGTTTAAAGCATTGGTCTGCGGTCTGGAGAGACCCGGGTTCAGATCCCGCTAAGGGCACGTACCTCGGTTGCAGTTTGTCCCTGGTCCTGGTTGGGTCGTGTGGGTGGCAACCACTCGATGTGTCCCTTTCACATTGATGTTTCTCTCTCTCTCTCTCTCACTCTCTCTCCCTCCCTCCCTCCCACTCTATCTGAACAAAATATCAAAAAAAAAATAATAATGTCAACATTGAAACATTTTTAATAAATAAAAAAAAGAAGCAACCCTGGGTGGTTTGGCTCAGCAGTTAGAGCGACGGCCCGTGGTCCAGAGAGACCCAGGCTCTGTTCCGCTAAGGGCATGTAACTTGGTTGCAGTTTGTCCACAGGAGGCAGCCACTCGATGTGTCCCTTTCACATTGATGTTTCTCTCTCCCTCCTACTCTATCTGATTAAAAAAAGAGAAAAGAAGCAACTAATGAATGCATAAATAAGTGGAACAACAAATCAATGTTTCTCTTTCCCTTTCTCTCTCTCAAACTCAATAAATAAATTTAAAAAAAAGAGGGATATAATACCTTTATATATAGGGTTTATAAACTTTTACAGTAGGAAATATAATTTGTCTACAACTATAAAGTAGAATGAAAATGTGGTAATAATATTATTTATTGCTTGCCTGTTATATGTCAGGCATTTTATGTTTTCCTTGAATTTTCTCAACAAACTATATAAGAAAGCTATTATTATTCCATTTATATACAGATAAGGAAACAGGTTCAGAGAAGTAACTTGTTAAGAATTACACTGCTAGTAAATGGTGGAATCCTGGTTCAAATGCAAGTATATCTGATTCCAAGTCTATGCTCTTTTCACTGTGCTACACAACCTTTTTATACTTACATTAGAGGTATCTCTGCTCCTAGATGGCAAATAATGGTAAATATGTTTAAATATATATATTTAAAACATAAATGTAGATAATGCATTCCAAGGAAGGATAGGAGAAATAAGGCTGTAATTAAGTCATTTTGGAATAATTTAGTAAAGAAGACTTCTGTACTCTTTGGTTTTCACAAAATTGCTCAAGTCTATAGTCTCTTTGAATTCTTCCAACCTGCCAGGGGAACTAAGGTACATTTCAATAGGTACAATAAATATTAAAAGTTCAAGGTCCCACCCGGTCAGTGTGGCTCAGGGGTTGAGCTTCGACCCATGCACCAAGAAGTCACCAGTTCGATTCCTGGTCAGGGCACATGCCCAGGTTGTGGGCCCAATTCCCAGTGGGAGGCATGCAGGAAGTGGCCAATCGATGTTCTCTCATCGATGTTTCTGTTTCTCCCTTTCCCTTCCTCTCTCTCTAAAAATCAATAAAGAAAAAATAAATTTTAAAGTTCAAGGTCCTTTACAAAGCTGCACAACAATGTAAGAGATTATGCCAGTGCTAACATTTCTTACTAGTCTCAATTTAATGATTATTGGTTGCATGTTCAATTTAAATATATTAAATATATATGAACATGTTCTATTTAAATATATATAGATATAACTAGTTTTATAAATCATGAGTAAATGTTAACTAAAGTTCTAATATTGCCAGATTCCTAATGATAGCAGCTAACATGTATTAAATGCTTGTTACTATATAATAAAGCACTGTGGCAAATGCTTTTTAAAAAAAACTTATTGTTGAAAGTATTACAAATGTCCTCCCTCTTTTCTCTCATTGACCCCCTTCTGCCTTCCTCACACTATTGTCTATGTTCATTGGTTATGCATATATGCATATAAGTTCTTTGGTTCATCTCTTCCCACCTCCCTCCCCCCTTCCCTTTGAGGCTCATCAATTTTAACAATCAATTTGTACTTTTTTTTTTTTTTAATCCTCACCAAGGATATTTTTCCATCTATCTTCAAACAGAGTGTGAGGGGGGAGACAAAGAGAGAGAAACATCGATTGGTTGCCTACTGCACAACCTCAACCAGGGCCCGGGACCGAACCACAACTGAGGCACGTTAACCAGAACCAAACCCGTGACTCTTTGGTCCCCGGGAATATGTTCTAACCGCTGAGTGGAACTGACCAGGGCCAATTTGTACTTCTTAACCCCTTCATCTTTTTTGCCCATCTCCCAAAACCCTCTCCCATCTGGCAACCAACAAAAAGTTCTTGATGTCTATGAGTTTGTTTCTGTTCTGCTTGCTCATTTTATTTGTAGATACAATTGTTGATAGATATGTATTACTTGCCATTTTATTGTTCATATTTTTTATCTTCTTCTTTAAGACCCTTCAACATTTCATATAATACTGGTTTAATAGTGATGAACTCCTTTAGCTTTTTCTTGTCTAGGAAATTCTTTATATGTTTATTGATTCTACATGATAACTTTTCAGGATAGAGTAATCTTGGTTGTAGGTCCTTGCTTTTCATCACTTTGAATATTTCTTGCCACTCCCTTCTGGCCCACAAAGTTTCTTTAAAGAAATTGGCCGACAGTCTTATGGGAGCTGCCAATAGGTAAATAACTACTTTTCCCTTGCTGCTTTTATGATTATCTCTTTGTCTTTAACCTTTTGCATTATTTTAAAAATATTTTTTCTTTATTGATTTTACAAAGAGAGGAAAGGAGAAGGAGAGAGAGATAGAAATATTTATGAGAGAGAACATCAATTGGCCGCCTCCTGCATGCTCCCCACTAGGGATTGGGCCCACAACCTGGGCACGTGCCCCGACCAGGAATCCAGCCGGTGACCTATTGGTGCGTGGGTCGATGCTCAACAACTGAGCCACCCCGGCCGGGCTAACCTTTTACATTTTGATGATGATGTGTCTTGGTGTGGGCCTCTTTGGGTTCACCTTATTTGGGGCTCTGTGCTTCCTAGACTTGTATGTCTGTTTCCTTCACCAAATTAGGGAATTTTTCTGTCATTATTATTATTATTTTAAATATGTTTTTATTTATTTATTTTTTTAGAGAGAGAGGAAGGGAGAGAGAGAAACACTGATGTGAGAAACACTGATTGGATGTTTCTCCATACCCCCCAAGGGATCAAGTCCTCAACCTAGGCATGTGCCCCAACCAAGAATTGAACTAGAACCTCTCAGTTCATTGGACTACGCTCAATCCACTGAGCCACACCAGCCAGGCAATTTTTTCAACTAGGTTTTCAGTTTCTTGCTCTCTTTCTTTTCCTTTGGCACCTCCATGATGTGAATGTTGGTATGCTGAAGTTGTTCCAAAGGCTCTTTACACTATCCTTTTTTTTTTTTTTTTTGATTCTTTTTTTTCTTTTTGCTGTTCTGATTGGGTGTTTTTTGCTTTGTTATATTCCAAATCAATGGTTTGTGCCTCGGCTTCACCTACTCTACTATTGATGCCCTATAAATTATTCTTTATTTCAGTTAGTGCATCCTTTATTTTTGATTCGTCCTTTTTTATGTTCTTGAGGTCCTCGCTCAGTTCCTTGACCATCTTTATAACTAGTGTTTTGAACTCTATATCTGTTAGATTGCTTATTTCATTTTGTTTAGTTCTTTCCTGGAGTTTTCTTCTCTTTTTTTATTTGAGACATGTTTCTTTGTCTTCTCATTTTGCCTGCTCTTCCCTGTGTTTGTTTCTATGTATTAGGTAGAGTTGCTATGTCTCTTAGGCTTGGTAGGGTGGCCTATTACAGTAGGTGTCCTGTAGGTTCCAGTGGCACAGCCTCCCTGATCACCCCAGCTGGGCCTTCAGGGTACAACGCTTGTGTGGACTGTACACCTCCTGTTGTAATTGAGTCTTTTTTTTTTATTTTTTATCCTCACCGGAGGACATTTTTCCATTTTTTGTTCAGATAGAGTGGGAGGGAGAGAGAGAGAAACATCAGCGTGAAAGGGACACATCGAGTGGTTGCCACCCGCATGACCCATCCAGGGCCAGGGACAAACTGCAACCGAGTTATGTGCCCTTAGCAGGAACCAAACTCAGGTCTCTCTGGACTGCAGGCTGACGCTCTAACCGCTGAGACAAACCAGCCAGGGCTGTAATTGATTCTTGATGGCTGTTGGCAAGTCAGTGGGAGGGATTTACTCTGGCTGTAAGGACTGGCTGTGCCCACTGACCACTAACCTCTGACTGCCGTGGAGAATCAGCTGTGTAGAAGTCTACCACACAGAGCAAGACTTACTTAGGCAGGGCTCTGGTACTCACTGAGTCTACTCCTTGAGTGTGTCACTTGTGGAGGTGGTTGGGTGGTGGTGCTTTGATGGGGTTTAAAGCTGTCCACTGGGTGTGCTGGCTCTGGGGCAAGGTCAGCCAATGCCTGTGTTCTACCTGGGGCCACCAGGCATAAGCTACAAGGTGGTCTGCAGACGTGTGCTTCTTGTACTGGGCTTGGAGGTGTCCAGGCAAAGCCAAGCTGTGAACCAAGGCTGACTGCTCTAGTGCCAGGCATGAGGCCACTTAGCGAGACATACGGAGCTTACTAAGGCCAGATGCTGCTTGTTTGAGAGAATTTAGGAAAATCTGAAGTAGGATCCATGACAGGCCAATCCTATGGTAAAGCTACTGTATACGGCTTTAGTGGGCTGAAAGTTGGGAGGGGCAGGATTTGGGGGAATCATTAGGGTGGGGCAAACAGTGTAAGCCAGGTTGCTGGATATGTCACTCCTCTGCCAGCCCGGTGGGGGAAGGGCTCACCAAAGGAACAGTGGCCTCCGCCAGCACATCTGTCTAGAAGGGTGCCTCTCCATGCCAAATGATTCAGTTCTTGCCGGTATGTCTCTGGTGACTTTCAAGCTGCCTCCCCAACACTGGAGCCAGTCTCTATGTGCTTCTTCTTTAATTTTGTAGTTGCAGGACTTCCATTCAGCAGGATTTCAGGCAGTTCTGAATGATGGTTCCTCTGTCATTTAGTTGTAATTTTGATATGGTCTGTGGCAAGTGCTTTAAATGAATAAAATAATTGACGTAGTTTTGTTTTTTGTTTTTTAATCCTCACCGGAGGACATTTTTCCATTTTTTTTGGTTCAGGTAGAGTGGGAAAGAGAGAGGAACACAGAGAGAGAGAGAAACATTGATGTGAAAGGGACACATCGAGTGGCTGCCACCTGCACGACCAACCAGGGCCAGGGACAAACTGCAACCGAGGTACATGCCCTTAGCGGGAACCGAACCCGGGTCTCTCTGGACCGCAGGCCAACGCTCTAACCGCTGAGCCACACCGGCCAGGGCTTGACGTAGTTTTTAAGTCAGGCTAACTAAATAATTGTCTTCCGGAGTAGTGTCCTGGAGAGGCTATATGCTTCATCAAAATGTATTCTCTACTTCTTCTTTTCAGGCTGCCTTCAGATGAGAAAACTGAAGATCAGAGAAATAACTTGCTGCTCTCATTTGTGTTACCCCAATGTGATTACCTGAATTATTCACAGAAAAGTGTTCTGAATTATTTAATCTCTTTGTAAAAATCATATCCAAATAATCAAGAGTGGATACTACTGATAATATGCCAAAGAACATATTGCCAATTCTTGTCACAATTTTAGAAAGTTGTTTCATAAATATTTCTCTGTGTTAAAAATTTTCATAGTAAAATGTTTGGGAGTAATATTGCCCTGGCCAGTTTGGCTCAGCAGTTAGAGCGTTGGCCCACAGACCAATGAGTCACGAGTTCGATTCTGGCCAAGTGCATGTACCTCGGTTGCGATTTGTCCCCAGCCCTGGTCAGGGTTGTGTGAGAGGCAACCTGTCAATGTGTCCCTCTCATGTCGCTGTTTCTCTCTCTCTCTGTCATCCCTCCCACTCTATCTGAAGATAAATAGAAACATATCCTCCAGTGAGGATTAAGAAAAAAATTGGTAGTATCATATTTTTCTAATAGCATAATGACTTTAGAAAATGCTTATTATTTACATTAAAATTTTTTAACTTATTTACCCAATTCAAAAGATTAATGATATTGGTAATAGTCTTTATTAAAATAAATCTGATGCTCCCCCTGGCTGGTGTGACTTAGTGGTTAGAGTGTCATCCCATGCACCCAATTATTGTTCATGAAAAAAGACAGATGATTCTTCAGTATGTTTATTTTTGAAAGAAGGAAAAGATTTAGAAAGTTGTCTTTCAAATATAGTTAATGATGTTTGTGTAGTGTTTTCAATTTGCAAAGTGCTTTTTTTTTTATTTATTTATTTTTTTTATCCTCACCCGAGGATATTTTTCCATTTTTTGTACAGATAGAGTGGGAGGGAGAGAGAGAGAGAAACATCGACGTGAAGGGACACATCGAGTGGCTGCCACCCACACGACCAACCAGGGCCGGGGACAAACTGCAACCGAAGTACGTGCCCTTAGTGGGAACCGAACCCGGGTCTCTCTGGACCGCAGGCCGATGCTCTAACCGCTGAGCCAAACTGGCCAGGGCGCAAAGTGCTTTTTATGTATATTGTCTTATTTCATGTTTACAGCAATCACTGTGAGGAAGATATAACTATTCACATTTTACAGATAGTGAATATTAGACTTGTGGAGTAATATATCTAGTGTCAAGTAGCAAATAAATATTGGAGCCAGAACTCAAGCACAAGACTGATTTCTAAATCTCAGTCTCTCTTTTATTCTTTCTTTCTTAAAAAAATTTCCTTCTTTTAATTCCATTACTCTCAAATATAGATACTTAAACTTAGTTATTAGAAAAATTCACTTAATGTAGACTGACCCAAATAGGCTAGGAGTAACCATTTTACTATGTGTATGTATATAATATCAAAATTTGAGAGCAAAATTTGTAAGGCACTATGATAGTCATACTAAGATTAAAATCAGTCTTAATTAACTGAGGAGTCTGAAGTTTCAGCTGTAAAAAACAAAACTAACATTTAAAAATATGTGAAAATATAATTTGTGGCATTAACAAGGAAAACATTGATCTTGTTTTCAAAACTCAGTGTCTATTCCCATTTTTGTTTTTTATAAGCGTCCTTAACAGAAGATCCTTAATGTATGTGTGAAAGAAGTTACTAGTGCAGAAGAGGCTCAGTAGAAGTAAAATGTATGAGAAGAGAGTTCAGAGAAGAAAATTATTGAACACCTGTTGCATGCCAGGCACTATGTTAGGTGTTGAGTGTACAATATTGAACACAAAATAAATGTTACTCTCATGGAGTCTATAGTCCAGTGGGACACATAATAAGAAGTGAACAAACGTATAGAATTACAACTTGTGATAGATTCTCTGAGGGAAAAAGAACATGGTTCTCAAGAAAAATAAAAAAGGAAGGCGTCTGCTTTAGCTTGGATGGTGAAAGAAAGCTTCTCCAAGGAGGTGATATTTAGGCTAAGACCTGAATGATGAGAAGGAGGCAGGTCAGTAATATAAAGATAAGGCCCCTCATGCCCTGGCCAGTTTGGCTCAGCGGTTAGAGCATCCACCTGCGGTCCGGAGAGACCCGGGTTCGGTTCCGGCTAAGGGCATGTACCTCGGTTACAGTTTGTCCCCAGCCCTGGTTGGTCATGCGGTGGCAGCCACTCGATGTGTCCCTTTCACATCGATGTTTCCCTCTCTCTCTCTTCCTCTCTCTCCCTCCCACTCTGTGTACAAAAAATGGAAAAATGTCCTTGGGTGAGGATTAAAAAAAAAAAAGATAAGGCCCCTCAGCACTGCCTAGGAATTTTTGAATATTTCTCTGATCATTATTAGTGCTCCTAATGATTGTTTCAGATATCCTTTGCTCTTCTCAGATTTTCTATCACTTACTCTTAGCAAGAAATTGAAACCATCAGATAGAATTCCTTTAATTCCATGTCAACACACCTTCAAATTTTCTGCAGTGATATATATTTTTTTAAATTAAACTTTGTATTTTTTTTTAATCCTCATCCAAGGATATTTTAATTCATCTGACAGGGAGGGACTATAACCTCTAGATCCTTTTAATAAAATTTTAGATCTTATTAGCTAGTAGTTTAATAATAAACTATAGACAGATGTACTAACTATATTTGTATGTAGATATGTGTTTGTGTGATTAATAATGTGTTATAGTGAATTTAAAGGATAGGCTAGAAATGCATTAGTAACAAGTTAACCTCCAGATGTAGTAGCATAGCACAAAGTTAATACTTCACTCATGGTGCATAAATGCTGCAAGTCCATGGAGGATTCTGCACCATTATAACCCTATGACCCAAGTTGATGGAAGTTCCATTCTCATAAAGCTACACTGTCTAGAACTTGAAGGCTCTTCATTTGTCATAGCAGGAAATGATAGCATGGAAAATCATGCACTGGCTCTCAGGTGCTTCAGCTTACAGTCCATTGGCCAGAAGTAGGGCCATGACCCCATCTATCTCCAAGGGTTCTGGGAAATGTACTTGTCCATGTGTTCAGGGAGACAAGGAGAACCAGATGTTAGTATCAGTAATGTCTACCACAGTCCTGATTCTGCCACTTGCTATCTCTGATCTTGGAAAGCCACTTTTCTAAGCCCCAGTTTGCTCATCTATAAATTGTAGATAATATTTTTACCTAAGTCAATTGTTATATAGATTAAATTAAATATTGTTACATGGGAGTGCTTTGGAAATGCTGGAAATTTTAGCTTTTCTTTAACCATTTTTTGAAGTTAAAGTGCTGCTTATGTTTTCTAGGTCTACTGAATGATGGAACTGTAGGTATTTTTAGGGGCAACCAGATGCGCTTAAAGAGAGCTTGCATTCGCAAAGCCAAAATCTCTGCTGTTGCTTTTCGGAAAGCCTTCTGCCACCACAAGTTAGTGGAACTTGATGCGACAGGTGTGAATGCTGACATCACGATTACAGACATCATCAGCGGGCTTGGCAGTAATAAATGGATCCAGCAAAATCTCCAGTGTTTGGTGCTGAACTCATTAACTCTGTCCCTTGAAGATCCTTATGAACGGTGCTTCAGCCGGCTTTCTGGCCTTCGAGCATTAAGTATCACCAATGTTCTCTTTTACAATGAAGACCTGGCTGAAGTTGCCTCATTGCCAAGATTAGAGAGCCTGGATATTTCTAACACCTCAATCACAGACATCACAGCTTTGCTGGCCTGCAAAGACCGACTCAAGTCTCTAACCATGCATCACTTGAAATGTTTAAAAATGACAACAACTCAGATATTGGATGTTGTTCGAGAACTGAAACATCTGAATCATCTTGATATATCAGATGATAAACAATTCACATCAGACATAGCACTTCGCTTATTAGAACAAAAAGACATCCTACCCAACCTCGTCTCCCTGGACGTTTCTGGGAGAAAGCACGTGACAGATAAAGCTGTTGAAGCCTTTATACAGCAACGGCCCAGCATGCAGTTTGTAGGTTTGCTGGCCACTGATGCTGGTTACTCTGAATTCCTCACAGGCGAAGGGTACTTGAAGGTTAGACTTTAAAAATGTATTATTTTGTCAGGCTGTCTTAGTTACATAAGACTCCATTAAGATAAATGTCTAATAATATATGGACTTTGCTTTAGAGTCAGAGTCCTAACTAAAATCCCAGCTTACTTACTTTATGACTTAAAACAAGCTATGATGTAACTTTTTGAGTTTCCATTTCTTTATAAAATAGGTACCATTCCTACCTTGCAGAATTCTTCTGAAGATTAATAATTATATATGTAAAGTGCAAGTCACGTAGTAGGCCCTTAATAAATAATAGTTCTCATGATGATATGTCCAGATATTTTGAACCACTTAAACATACCATTTCTAATGGATCACTTCAAAGAAATAGGGGTACTCTTTGTTGAATTTAGTATCTAGTGGGAGATCAAGTTCTCCAAGGAGATCTCTACTGCAGAAATGGTAAAATTTTGCTTTTCTTAGGTTTCTTATGCCTAGTGGTTTAAATTCAGGTTAGCAAACATCTATTGGGCTTGACACAGTTTGTCATTCAAAGATGAAAAAGATACAGGCTCTGCCTCCCAGGAGCTTAGTCTGATAGAAGTGGTGATCATCTTATCTATAAAGCCAAGTATAGTAATAGTTTCTGTAAGAGAGTAGGAGATAGTTCTTCTAGCTGAAGAATTTGGGGCTTGATGGAGAAAATGGTATCTGAGTCAAACCTTGAAGGATAGAGTATGACAGATTTAAGGAAAATTAATATTTTTCTAACATACATTGTATCCTCTTGATACTTTATATTGATAGATATTAACCCCATATTATTGATGCCAAACAGACTCAGAAATTATATGATTTACTGTTAGTTAGGACCAACATTTGGATCTACATGTCTAGTTCCAGAGCCCCATTTTCTCCCCTTATTATCTACATTACTCAAGCAGAAACATTATTTGATCTTACCTGGAGCAGAGAAGGAAAGGTTCATTATAAATATCTTATAAACATCTCAATTCCTAGTTTTTTTGTAAATTGAGACTTTAAAAAATAGAATGTAGAAAATGGTTTTGAGTTGCTCTTTTTATTCATTCATTCAATAAATGTTTAACAGGTGCCTCTAAAATAGCAGGTATCGCTAGATACTGTGCTGGACATGGGGATTTGATAGTGAAGCCAGACAGATATAATCTTGCCCTCATGGATCTTGTAATTTAGTGAGGGAGTCAGACAATCAAATATATGTTGTGTGTGTGTGTGTGCACAGGCAAATATATTTATATGTAATATATATATATATATATACACACACACATATGCTTTAAACTGTATAGTTTACACAATACTATATATAAGAATGTTTAACAGAGAGATTTGACTTAGTTTCAGCCTTCTCTGAGGAGTTGATAAATGAGTGTAGATCTTGGCAGAGAGAATAATATATGTAAAAGATGTGTGGTAAAAAGGAGCATAGTACATCCAAGGAACTGATGTACTGTGGATAGAGCTCAACAGCAGAAAGTCACAGAGTGATGAAATGAGATTGGAGAAATAGGTACCAGAGCCAGACTTGGCAACATCACATAAGCCAGGTGCAGGGCAATAAGTATGAGGAACTTACTTCACTTGTTATGAAACAAGCTAGATTTCTAGTGCATGGCTTGTTGATGAAAGAAGCACAAAAATGTAAATTACTATTTTAATATTACTTAACTCCCTAACAAATGGGTCAGGTAGTAAAGAGTTATAAAAATTAAAGGGGAAGAAAGCCCTGTGTGCTGAGAGTTGAAAAAGGATTTCCCAGAAGAGGTGAGCTTGACTTGCATCCTGAAGGATGAAAGGAATGTATCGCTGGTACCTTAAGCTAAATAATCTCAAGGTGAAGAACCTATAAAAGTTGTGATCCCAGAGCAGTGAATTAGTCTAAGTTTTAAAATTGAGGCTAGAAGGACATCTGTATTCTATAACGCCTCTGTGAAACAAGTTTGATTTCACAACTGCATCTGTAATTACTTTGAAATCTTGCCCTTAGCAAACACTTTATTATTTATCATTATCTAATTTCGACCTCTGTAACTGTTGAAGCAGAGATTCTCAACCTTGTCTACAATTAAAATCACATGGAGTGTAATTGTGAGATGATGGTTGTGTTAACTAACCTTACCATTGCAATCATTTCATAGTATATACTTTGCATCAAATCATGGTGTACACCTTAAACTTACACAATGTTATATGTCAATTATTCTTGATAAATCTGGGAAAAAACGTTTTTAATTCTCACTGAGAGAGAGAGAGAGAGAGAGAGAGAGAGAGAGAGAGAGAGAGAGGGCGACATTGATGTGAGAGAAACACATCAATTGGTTGCCTCCCACATGTGCCCTAACAGGGACTGGGAATAGAAACTGCAATCTAGGTATGTGCTCTTGACTGGGAATCAAACCCTTCACTGCTGGGGGCCAACACTCTAACCGCTGAATAACACTAGTCAGGGCTGGAAAAAAAATTTTAATTAAAAAGAAACAACCTGGGCCCTGGCTGGTTTGGTTCAGCAGTTAGAGCGTTGAACCCCGAACCAAAGAGTCATGGGTTCCATTCTGGTCAAGAGCATATACCTTGGTTGTAGTTTGGTCCCCAGTCCTGTCGGGGTCGTGCGGGAGGCAACCAATTGATGTGTGTGTCTCTCACATTGATGTTTCTCTCTCTCTCCCTCTTTCTATCTTTCTCTTTCTCTCCCCCTCTCACTCTGTCTGAAAATAAATGGAAAAATATCCTCGGGTGAGGATTAAAAAAATAAATAACCTGGGAATCTTGAACAATTAAATCAGAATCATAGGGAGGTGGAACTCAGGCTTCAGTGTTTTTTAAAGTTGTGTAGGTGATTGTAATCATTATTTTAAAATATTTTTAAGATAAAGATCATTGGATCTTTGCCCTTTATTCAACTGTATACACAAATTGATGTTCCTTTAAAATTATTTGACTACTGATTTGAAAACTGGAAAATAATAGGTCATGTTAAGGGAGGAGAGCTGAGATCATCATGTCTCCTTTTTAGAATTGTCCAACTTAGTAAAGTTGATGAAAAACTTTTCTAAAATGATTGTCTTAGTATTGTGATACTTTAAATTAGTTTAGTCTGGCTTTTTGGCTTTACATTCCTGAGTTTTTTAGGCCAGACTAAAGGATATAAGAAAGAGAGACAATGTAACTCCCTAGTATTCTTATTCTCACTTCTTTTGTTCAGATAGAGTGGGAGGGAGCGAGAGAAACATCGATGTGAAAGGGACATATCGAGTGGCTGCCTCCTGCACGACCCAACCAGGGCCGGGGACAAACTGCAACCAAGGTACGTGCCCTTAGTGGGAACCGAACCCGGGTCTCTCTGGACCGCAGACCGACACTCTAACCGCTGAGCCAAACCATCCAGGGCCCTAGTATTCTTTATAAGGCATTCCATATATAGTACTCAGGGGGTGGTTATAAGAACAGGTGTTTTTTTTTTTGCATTTTTATATATATTACTTATTTTGGTCTCTTGACTCAATAGAGGGAATGGTTTTCTTAAGGGTCACAATCAGATGATATTAGAGCTTTCCCCTGTACCCTTGGCCTATTTGATTCCAAAGTATTTGTCCTTTCCACTATATCTCATTGCCTCTATTTGAGTATCTTAGTTCTTTCTTTTCCTCTCAGTTTCTAGTCCCAACACGGAGGGCTCTCTTACAATAGAATTTCTAACTCTGTCGTCACTGTTTCCCCACCCAATTTGCTCTTTTGTCACCATCCACTTCCAGAACCTTATACTTCTTCATAACTAGGATTCTTAGGTTTGTGGGCCGCCTCATTCCCCAACTGGTTCCCATGAAAATCACTGAAAATTTTCTAAATCCAGTATTAGTTCTCAGTTTTCATCATATTTGATCTAAAGTGGCATTTGATACAGTTGATCTTGTCCTTCTTAAGATTTTTTTTTTTGCTTAGCTTCTAGGATATCATACTGGTCTTGCTTTTTTCCTACCTTTCTGACTACTCAGTCTCGGTTTTCTTTATTGGTTCTTCCTCATCTTATCAGGCCTCTAAATATTGGAGTGTTCCATGCCTTCGTCCTTAAACCTACTTGTTAATGACTCCCAAATTTAATCTCCAGCCTACATTTCTTTCTTGAACTAAGATTCCTATGTTGAACTTCAGTAATTGACATCTAGTGAGGTACATATATGTGTTTTAAGCAGAGGAGTTGATCATTCCCCAAAAAAACATTTACCAGCCCTGGCTGGTGGTTAGAGCATCAGCCCATGCACCAAAGGGTCATGGGTTTGAATCCCAGTCAAGGGCACATACCTGGGTTGCAGGTTTGATCCCCAGTCAGCGTGTGTGCAGGAGGCAAACAATTGATGTTTCTCTCTCTGTCTCTCTTTCTCTCCCCCTTTCTCCCCCCTCCCTCCCTCCCTTCCACTCTTTAAAAAATAAATCGGTGGAAAAAATATCCTCAATAAGGATTAACAAAAAACATTTACCAAGTACTTTTTTTTTTAATCCTCACTGGAGGACATTTTTTTTTTTTTTTTTTGCATGTATCTTCAGATAGAACGGGAAGGAGAGAAGGAGGAAGACAGAGAGAGAAACATCGATATGAGAGAGACACATCAAGTGGTCGCTACCCTCATGACCCCAACCAGGGCTGGGGACAAACTGCAACTGAGGTACGTGCCCTTAGCAGGAACCGAACCCAGGACCGATGCTCTAACCACTGAGCCAAACTGGCCAGGGCACCAAGTATTTTTTAAAGAAATCTGAGTTAGTGCCCCTGCTCTTGAGAAAATCTAGTCTAGTGGAGAGGAGACAGACAAATTTAAAAATAGCTTTAATCCAGTGTGAGATGCTATAATAAAGTTATATAGAGAGTGCTATAAGAAAATTTTTCCTTAGAATATAAATTTTCATTTTAATCCATATATTAAATATATATTAAAAATTTTTTTTTATCCTCACTTGAGGACATTTTTGCATTTATCTTCAGATAGAGCGGGAGAGAG